CCTGATGTCGCACATTTACAGTTGTTACTCTAAGACACAAACGTCCACGGAGCATACTGCAAGATGAGTTCTTCACAAAATTCATCCAAATCTCTGTGAAAGTTACCTTGTCACCAACACTGGTTCACAATTTATCTTTAGCCAACATAACTGCTCTCCATTTAGCAGATTCTACTCCCAACATGATTTTCTGATTTTATTTGCATATAATATTATGTATCCGCGCATGAAAAGATTTGTTGGAAACAATCTGTTAGGAAAATCTCTTGCTACGTAAACATTTATTTTTAATAAATGTACAATTTTACAATTACACTCAACATACAAACTCATCAAAATTCAGGACATGTTTCAAGTCAATTTATTAAAGAATTATTACATGATAAAAAGTGTAAGACACGATCAGAGTATACACAGTCTGATCTGTTTAAGGTGCAGAGTATTAGTCTATAAAACGCACACATTTCTGTTGATAGAATGTTCTAGAGTGATTTAATAGTAATTGTGGTGTCTTTTCATGCTACAAAATTCTGAACATACACTGATCAGCCATAACATAAAACCACCTGCCTGACATCGTGTAGGTCCCCTTATGCTGCCAAAACAGCTTTGATGCGTTGAAACATGGACTCATTAAGACCTCTGAACGTGTCCTGTGGTATCTGGCACCAAGACATTAGCAGCAGATCCTTTAAGTCCTGCCAGTTGCAGGTTGGTTGTTCCAACACACCCACAGATGCTCAATTGAATTGAGAATTTGGAGGCCAAGGCAAAACCTTGAACTCTTTCTCATGTTCTTCAAACCTTACCAGAACAATGTGTGCAATGTGGCAGGGTGCATTATTGAGCTGAAAGAGGCCATCAAGGAACACCATTGCCATGAAGTACGTGGTCAGTAACAATCTCTAGGTAGGTGGTAAATGTCAAGGTAACATCGGCATGAATACCAGGACCCAAAGTTTCCCAGAGCATAACATTGTCTCTGCTGGCCTGCCTTCTTCCCATAGCCCTTCCTGCTGCCCTCTCTTCCCCAGGTAAACATCGCATACGCACCCAGCCACCCACTTGATCTAAAAGAAAATTTATCAGAGTTATCAGACCAGGCAACCTTTTTCCATGGTCCAGTTCTGATGCTCGCGTTCTCATTTATGGCGGTTTCAGTGATGAGCAGGAGTCATCATGGGCACTCTGACCCATCCGCTGCTATGCAGCCCTATACTAAGCAAACATGCGATGTACTGAGTGTTCGGACAACTTTTTATCATGGCAGGCATTAAGGCTTTCAGCATTTTTAGCTAAAGAACTTCTGTGTGATCGGACCAGGCAGCTGGTCTTTATTCCTAATGTGCATCAATGAGCCTTGGGCGTAGATGACCCTGACACCAGTTCACCGGTTATCCTTCCTTGCGCCACTTTTGAAAGGAACTAACCACCGCAGACTGGAAACACTCCACAAGACTTTCTTTTTGGAGATATTCTAACCCAGTTTTCTAGCCATCACTTTTTGGCCCTTGTCACAGTCACTAAGATATTTTCGCTTGCCCATTTTTCCTGCTTCCAGCACATGAAATTCAAGAACTGACTGGTCACTTGCTAATATATCACACTTCTACTTCAGCTATTACCCCTATATTATTCACATCACCTGTCAGTGATTTAATGTTGTGGTTGATCAGTGTATATGTCATTATATGAGTGTTCAATGCATTTAAAATAACTGGCACAGGAGTAATCACACAGTATAGAATAATACCTGAACATTGATTTTAAAAAATGGCGATCCCTGCATATACAGACCATTTTAGAAGACATTTAGTTTTTGTGCTAAAATAACGTGAAGAACAGAGCAGTGACAGAGGCGGTTCCCCACCAAACAGGTATAAACCACATTTCCATATTATTGCTTTTCTGAATCACATTTATCTTCCACAGGACAAAGGCTACCATAGTCTACACTTTGCTATAATCTTCCTTGTGATTCTGGACACCTGCATACATACAGTGCAGTGAAGAATACTGTGTTCGTTAGCTTTCAAATACAGAGACATCGTCTTGGTCAACTTTAAATTGGAAGTAAATTTGCTACAATGAATCCTGTAGAATAGATAAATTTTATCAGGGCTTAACATTTACGGTCCTATGCTACTAGTCAGGCCTTAAAAGTTATTTGCCATCTCAAGCTATAGTATGCTAATCTGGAATGACTCTCTACTTGCCAATGGTTCAAGAAAATTTAGAGCCTTCTGTAATATCAGACTTCATCTAATCAATGAGGATGTTGTACCTTCATACATGAATTCAAGAGGTTAGACCTCCCAGGACTTGAAGTCTGAAAAAACAGTAATTCTTAGGTGTGCACAAAGACCTGTGTCCCTTTCCTAAGGTGTGTTACCGAAATCTTAAGGTACTGTCACTAGACCCTCCTGAGGAAGCTATCCGGTAGTTACCTGTTAAGGGATTGGTGTAGAAAGCAGGAAACAAATGTTCCAGGCTCTTCTGGAAGAAGGACAAAATGCACATCTCCCAAAGGACATCACTTTGGGAGCCAACATTCTCACTTTCATTCCGTTTTGCTCTACAGCGTTTATTCAAGGTCACCCACACTGAGCACAGACCCAGTCTGACAGTGCAGCGACTGTCCTTTCTCTGTCCTCCAAACATAGTTCTAGATATACTTTGTTTTCATCCAACTTTTCCAGACTAGATTTTAAGCCACTGGAGGTTGAAGAAAGGAAGACATAACTGAGATAGATTACGAGATAACTTTTGCATTTTTTGTTATTTGAAAAACAAACAATATGAGCTTCAGCCTTGCTTTTGCTCCAAGCGTTTCTCATAACTTATTATTACATTTGTACTACCATTAATGTGCTGCAGGAAAGTTAATCTGTTCCCATTTATTTGGTTTTTCTAACAATTGGCATCATAAACATCACAGAGGATGGATGAAAAAGAAAAGTGGAGAGCTAGAAGTGTAATTCCACCCGGATGCTGCACGTCTGTTTGTATTGGGACACAGTGATACCTGGGAGGGGTAGGGGGGATAGGAACCTATTCTGGAGATTGGGACTCTGTTTCCTCTAGAGTTGCCTGTTAATGGTTAGTGCACTCTAAGTCCTATTTATTACAGAGGATACCTTGGCTTACGGCTGCAAGAGATACTTCTCTTCATTCTTATTTTCCATTTCTGATGATGGACTTGAGCTAGGACAGGATGGTGTCTTACAAGCCTTACATAAGATGAGGAATAAGATAATGATAAGCAGGGCTATAACACAGTTAAATGAAATGGCCACCACTGCTCCAATCGATAAACTAGCACCCATTGCAGGAGGTATGTGTCCCAACAAAAGGTAGGTCCAATAATGTGAGGTTTTACAGTCAGACAAAATGTTGGTGGAGTATTTCATGAAAACACGTTCTCCTGCAATCTTCTTGTTGAGTAACAATGTAAACAAGTAATTGGTGCAAATAATCTTGTCTCACCGTTGTTCCCAGTGGAATGAATTGTGTTCCTGCTAAATATATCTCATTGTCTCTTCATTGTCCATAGGTCAAGGTAATGATGATCTCCAGGCCTAAGAGATTAGATGAACTGTAATGAGAGCTGCAGTTTAGGTTAAAACTGGACACTTGAGGATCAGTATATGTGGATCCCGTGGCATTTTCAAGGTTTCTAAATACCCGATGAATGTCTAAAATCCTAAAGAAATTTATAAAAAGAAAATTGATGTTACTTGTCAGCAAAAAAAAATATATCAGGATTTTAACCAGAAAACATTTCCTAAGCACTGCCTGTAAACTGACATCTAAAGTTTACACTTCCTTTATGGCACAGTCTGTTTTATTTAGAATTTCTAATCTCTCTCTTTTTTTTTCATGCAGGTTGAGAAAATTAATTACTAAATGGCAAAACTGATATAACTCCTAAATGACTAAATGAGAATTGATCAGTGAGACTTCAGAAGCATGATCTACACACAAAATCTACTTCATTAAGCTAAAGTTGTTTTGGTGACTATAGAGTCCTTTAATTCACCATGCCCTGCGATTAAAACACCCTGTATTATCCTGTCACTGTAAGTATGAACTGGCCTGCCAAGGTGAGACCAAAAGGAGAGCATTTGGAACCAAAATGCAGTAGCTATGACTGCCTATTAAGCCTCCCACTGCACAGAGCTTTATAACGCATCTCATGAACTCAGTGCTTTATAATGCTTCATTGGATCAACAGCTTCCTGGAACTCAACTGAACTCAGTATCTTTCCAAATCTGTACTGAACTCCACAGCCTCCCTGAGCACAGCGCACAATAATTTATCCCTTTAATGTTCTGCTTTGAAATGAAATCTATTAGAGAAATTATGTAAATTGCCCTTTTACACTCATATATGTTAATGTCCTTTTAATGTCCCTTGGTGGTAGATACCATTACAGGATGTTCCGAATATACAGACACTAATGGACCCACAGTAATCTATACCATGGTGTAACATTCCATATCACTCACACGCTCGCACGCACGTTTCAGGTTATAGACACTGATCGGATTATTACACTAACCAGAAAACATGGAGAACCAGCATTTTATCTGAGCTGGAACATCAGTTGTAGTTAGGAAATCATCAGTTATGTCGGCCTAACGTGCAATTTCCATTTATTGAATTTTGGTGTAATTCCCAGTTTAATGAATAACTCTGATTGAGTTAAAGTGGATCTATTACTTCCAGAAAAGTAACACTTTCTTTTTTACCCAAACCACTATACATTATTTCTGCGTTCACTGTGGTCAGGGCCAGATTAAGAGCACAGTGGGCCTGGTGCTGACAGTTATGATGGGCCTAATTACAAAATCTTATTGACCAAAAACACTAAAACAGTCCTACCTCCTAAGTGTCATGTATCTGGCGGAGATGGTGCTGGAGGGAAACTCATAGGATGCGGCTATACGAAAACACATACCCTATGCTAATCTCACACTTTCATCTTTCAAATAAATCCATACACACTAACAGCAGTGTCCAGTAATGCAGGAAGTCTATGGACAGGTTAAAAGGGTGGGCCACTGACGCAAATCACATAACTAGAACTGCCGAAAGGGGCAAACATACCCAAAAAGGGGGCATGTCTGTGTCCCCATGTCTCCCAGTCCCTTAGTGTCTGTATCCCCATGTCTTCCAGTGTCCCCATGTCACTAGGGGACATTGAGAGACATTAGAACACTGGGAGACATGGGGATACAGATACTAGGGAACACTGGGAGACCTGAGGACACAGACACTTGGGGACACTGGGAGACATGGGGACACTGTGATATATAGGGGACACAGGAGACTTGATAAAGACCTGGGTACAGGTCAAAACGTTGAGGTGTCCAATAAACCTGCTTAAATCTATCACAGTGAGTGCCTGAGAATTTTTTATTTTATACTAGTGGACACTGAGACACTTGGCGGCACTGTAAGACATGGGGACTCTGGGAGACTAGGGGACACTGAGACACTAAGGACACTACACACACTGAGAGACATGTGGCACTGAGACACTGTCATATATAGGGGACACTGGAGAATTGATAAAGACCTGCATACACGTCAAAATGTTGTGGTGTCCAATAAACCTGCTTAAATCTATTACAGTGAGTGCCTGAGATTTTTTTATTTTATACTAATGGACACTGAGACACTTGGCGGCACTGTAAGACATGGGGACTCTGGGAGGTTAGGGGGTACTGAGACACTACGGACACTGAGAGACACCAGGCACACTGGGAGACATGTGGCACTGAGACACTGTGATACATAGGGGACATTGTGATATATAGGGGACACTGGAAACTTGATAAAGACCTGTGTACAGGTCAAAACGTTGCAGTGTCCAATAAACCTGCTTAAATCTATCACAGTGAGTGCCTGAGTTTTCTTCTTTTATACTAGGGGACACTGGGAGACTAGGGGACTTTGGGAGACTAGGAAACACTGAGACACTAGGGACACTGGCACACTACGGACACTGAGAGACACCAGGGACACAGATACTAGGGACACTGGCTGGGAGAAATGGGGACACTGAGACAGGGGCGTACCTAGAGCATTTGGCACCCGGGGCGGATCCTGTGCTTGGCACCCCCCACCCCCCCACCCACCACCCAAAAAAAAAAACCTATAAAAAATGTTAAAGGTTTTCTTTCTTTTGTTTTACAATTTGTAAACTTTGCAAAACCGCTGTCAGCCCCTTCTACAAAACCCTTGTCCTGCCCCGCCCCTCCTACAAAACCTCTGTCCTGCCCCTTCTACAAATCCTGTACTGCCCCATCTACAAAACCCCTGCAACCCCCTTCCACAAATCCCCTGCTTATCCACCCTTATAAAGACTCCTGTCCCAATACAAAACCCCCGTCCCGTTCTACAAAATCCCTGCAGCCCCACACACACATTTACAGGCAGACAGTCACACACTCAGTTACAGACAGACAGTCACACACTCAGTTAAAGGCAGGGCCAGATTAAGAGCCTAGTGGGCCTGGTTCTGACAATTATGATGGGGCCTAATTACAGAATTTTATCGACCAAAAACACTAAAACAGTCATACCTCTAAAGAGTCATGTATCTGATGGAGTTGGAGTTGGAGGGAAACTCAAAGGATGCAGCTATAAGAAAACACATACTCTATGCTAATCTCTTTATCTAATTAATGCTTTCATCTTTCAAGTAAATCCATACCCCATAACAGCAGTGTCCATGGGCGGGGTAAAAGGGTGTGCCACTGACGCAAATCACGTGACCAGAACTGCCAAAAGGTGCGAACATGCCCAAAAAGGGGGCATGTCTGTCCAAAGAATTGGAAGGCCAGCCTGGCATCAGTGTCCCTATGCATCACAGTGTCAATGTCCCCATGTCGCCCAGTCCCCTAGTCTCCCAGTGTCTGTGTCCCCATTTCTCCCAGTGTCCCCATGTCTCAGTGTGTCCTGTGTCACTAGGATATTAGGGGACACTGAGAGACATGGGGACACTGAGAGATCCGGGGACACTGGGAGACGTGGGGGCACTGGGAGACGTGGGGGCACTCGGAGATGTGGGGGCACTTGTGAATACAGACATGGGGACATTGGGAGACACGAGGACACAGACATTTGGGGACACTGGGAGAAATGAGGAGACAGACACTAGGGACACAGACATGGGGACACAGACACTAGGAGACAGGAGGACACAGACACTAGGGACACTGGCTGGGAGGCATGGGGACACAGACACTTGGGGAGACTGGGAGACATGGGACACAAAGGACACAGAGACATGGGGACACAGACACTGGGAGACATGGGGACACTGAGACACTAGGGACACTGGCTGGGAAACATAGGGACACTGGGAGACATGGGGACTCTGGGACACTAGCTGGGAGTCATGGGGACACTAAGAGACATAGGGACACTAAGAGACATGGGAACATAGATACTAGGGACACTGGCTGGGAGGCATGGGGACACAGACACTTGGGGACACAGACACTTGGGGACACAGAGAGGCATGGGGACACTGAGACATTTGGGGACAATGGGAGACATGGGGACACTAAGGACATAGAGGCATGGGGACACAGACCCTGGGAGACATGGGACACAGACACTAGGGACAATGGCTGGGAAACATAGGGACACTGGCTGGGAGTCATGGGGAAACTGGGAGACATGGGGACATTGAGAGACATGGGGACACAGAGACATGGGGACACAGATACTGGGAGACTAGGGGATACTGGGAGCCATGGTGATAAACATTTGGGGAATCTAAGACACTAGGGACACTGAGAGACATAGGAACACAGACACTAGGGACACTGGCTGGGAGGCATGGGGACACAGACACTTGGGGACACTGGGAGACATGGGGCACTTGTGGACATATACATGGGGACACTGGGAGACATGGGGACACTGAGACATGTGGGGACACTGGAAGACATGGAGACACTAAGGACACAGAGACATGGGGACACAGACACTGGGAGACATGGGGACACTGAGACACTAGGGACACTGGCTGGGAGACATAGGGACCCTGGAATACATGGGGACACTGAGACACTGGCTGGGAGACATGGGGACACTGGGAGACATGGGGACACTGAGAGACATGGGGATACAGAGACATGGTGACACAGATACTTGGACACCAGGGGACACCCGGAGTCATGGCGACACTGAGACACTAGGAACACTGGCTGGGAGACATGGGGACACTGTGTCCCTAGTGTCTCCGTGTCCCAATGTGTCTCCCTATGTCTCACAGCGTCACCATGTGTCTGTGTCCCCATGTGTCTCAGTGTCCCCATGTCTCCCAGTTTCCCCACATCTCCCAGTGTCCCCTAGTGTCTCAGTGTCCCCTAGTGTCTCCTTTCCCCCCATCCTTCACATACCTGAGCTGTAGTCTGTCTCTGCAGACTGGAAGCTGTTGTCTGGATTCTCTGTGTTGTGTAGCTGCTCCCCCGTGATCAGTGAGTAGAGAGATGCTGTAACTTCCTATCCCTGCCTCTCTCCTTACACAGTGGCCCCTACTGGCCGGTGCTGGTATTGCAGAGTAATCTCCGTTTATACAGAGAAAAATACACGGCCAGGCAGCCTCCAATACCAGCTGTGCCTTAAAATACCAGTCAGGTGGTAAACCTAAGAGTAGTCTGTAAAAAAAAAAAAAAAGTAAAAAACAATTTTTTTTTTACAATGGGCCAATTCCATGGGCCTGGGCCTGGGCCTGGAGCTGCAGCTCCATCAGCCCCTATGTTAATCCGGCCCTGGTTACAGGCAGACAGTCACACACAGTCACAGGCAGACAGTCACACATACACATTTCCTCCGTGCGGCCAGTTTTTCAGCTGTTTGCTTGTGTGAGCTGTACTGGCCGCACGGCACCCTAACTACCATGGGACACTGTGCGGCCACAGCTCACACAGC